AATAGTTAATTTATTAAATAACCTACCTCTAAACAATATAAACTTACTCAATTAAAATATTACCTAGTACTTGTTATGGTTATGTTTGATGAAAACCAATTAGAGTTACTATTTTTATGGAATGTTGTTACTATTTTTCATAAAGTTTTTTAACGTTTTTATTGATTATTTCCATTCATATGCGCGCTGCTTTTTTAAAAAAGAGAAACAGTTAAGGATTCCAATGAAATGAAAAAAAAAAATAAAAAAACAAATTGCATTTATAGTTAATTTAACAGAAATTTATACTAGAACTTAAGTTTACAAATTTTAAGCGTTTTTAAATGCCGTCCATGTAAAATAATATTACTTTTTTCTAATCCATTCACCATTACATTTTTCAAAATTTTGTTCCATACACAAATCGTTAATTATGCCTTCTAGAATTAATTTAATTTGTTTCTTAAAATTATAAAAACGAAATACAGAAGAAACTAACTGCAGGGGCTAAGTGTTCAATTTTTATTGTCAATACTTCAAGTTATTCGAAATGTCAACGAAAATAAGGAAATATTAAAATGAATAACGAGCGTATAAGTAACGTCGAAACGTATACCCATTAGTGCACTATTAATTGAAATAAAAATAAAGCGCTTGTTCTTTATGATTCCATTCTCGATAGGTTAGAGAAATATTACCTTATGAAGATATATTTTCAGCAGAAAAATTAACTCTTGTGAAAACCACCGAAAATCAGCTGGGTTGCTCAAAATTGCTTTTGATATCATATTCTCTGAAAACTTCAACATGTGATCAGAAATCCATTTAAGGATCAAATGTTCTTTTCTATTGAGAAAAATTGAAATATCCTCCCAAATTACATGCAATGGGCGTATAAGTAACATCATTAGTTATACGCATCAGCAAGCAATCAATGTAGGGTGCGTATAAGCAACGACAATAGTTATACGCATCGACTACATCCTCTGAAAATAAAGTTATTCAGGGTAATTCCCAATCATTCAGAGATGTTCCCAAGTTTTTATTAATCGCAGTAATTGCACAGTTTTTTTTCTAATATATAAGTCACAGTTGTTACATAAATGTGATCTAAAACACAGGAATTGTATGCAACAATACATTAGGAGGGCCTTTAGTAGCTTAAATTTCTATAGTCTTAAAAATGATGTTAAATGAAATTTTGAGAACAGTTCCTCGTGTATATAAGTAACGTCAATGATTATACACATCGTATTCCAATTTTTGATATTCCAACAGTTCACAGTGAGTTCTGAGGCGTTCTCCTCAAAGTTTGGAGTTTTTTATGCTGCAAATATAAGGCCATGTAGATGGCCTGTTAATTCGAAAATTTGAGTTGTTAAGAGCTCATTACTTCAGATCCACGATCTTTGCCTATCTCTTTCTCACACCGATATTCTCTATTTGGACTGGATTAATTTCAAGGTATTTGTATTTCAAAATTCTAGACATTTTCTCACGAAAAGTTAACAGGGGCATGAGTCGAAAGACTAGTTATCAAAATACATATAATTTTTAATTCTTTCAAACTCGGAGAATTGTTAAGAATCGTCGTTTGATTCTTATAAAATTATGAACTCACTGCAAAAATTTTTGCTTTAGAATGATTCAACCTCCCGATATCACACTTTTCAAAGAAAATTCCAGGTTACTTTGATGTCGCTTTAATTAACAGCACCTCCGAAATAAAGATCTTAAAAATCAGGGCAATGGAAAATTTCATTATTTGATTCAGAGCGTATAAGTGTCAACATTACTCTTACGCACCCCTTAAAAATGAATGAAAATAAACCAAAGAAATGTTCTTCACTTATTCTGCAATAATAGCAGTTTGAATGGCATTTGGGTAAATTTTCATTTTTCATAAAACTCCTGAGGTTGAGAAAAATTTCCACATTCATACCAATTTTTGTGTGGGTTAGTAATAAAACGGTTGCGTTTTATTAAAAAAAAATTAAAGACCATTGAATCATTTACCCAGCGTATAAATGATGCCAGTACTCATACGCTTTAATAATCTTAGCGAAATTAACAATCTTCAGAACTTTACCATATATTTTTTGCTAGAAAATATTCAAATGGTATTCTAAATATCCATAACATCCTGTTATACATTGAAAACTTAAACCACAAATCTTAAAAAATGAATAATAAAAATGATGTATTTTTTGTAGGAGGGAGTATATGTGATTTACTCCTATAGGTCACATGTAACTTGTCCACTAAGGAGGGAGTTTGAAAATAAATACTACATCAAATAGTCATATACAAATTTCTCTCTTACTTTAATTAAGATTCTGAGAGCCCTTGAATTGTTTTCAAAATTGAAATTACATTATGCTAGTTATAGAGCGTATAAGTAAAGTCAATACTCCTACGCCCAAATGTTCATACATTTCATATATCTGGGTTAACCTCCAAATTCTGACGAATGGCATTCCGTTACCTCTACGGCGTATTAATAACGTCAATACTTATCCGCATTAAACTAAACATCTCTTCCACGATAACTTACTTCAATATTTTTTTGGATTTCTGAACTTCAAATTAAACATATACATACACCAGGAAGATTAATACTTCCAAAATAGCAAGTAAATCTCATAAATCAAAAAAGCATTCCTGAGCGTATAATTAATGTCCTCACTTATACGCCACATTGAATGATTTATGATTTTTTAAATATATTCATGTATATCGCATCGCTTATTTGAAACATTAGATATTTTTTAGGATCATAGGAAAATAATTCCCATTTCATGATTAAAATATAACACAAGAGCTTAAACAGCAGACAATTTATGTCAGATGAAAGCAATAATCATCTATTCAAACGTAAATTTTATTAATTGCTCTGAATGACTTAACAATTCCTCCAATTTCTTTGAACTTAGATCTTGTAAGACCCATTGAGTATTGATCTCCTCAAGATCTTTGGGATTAGGCAAGTTAAAGGGATAGGAAAAAAATTATTCTCTGTAATCCTAAAATAGGATGAATCTTCCTTTGACATTTGTAAGTGATTGGGACACAATCATTTCTTAAGTGTTGTCCCCTTTAGTTTGATATTCTATGTATTTTTATAAATACGAATTCATGGAATACTGTGGCGTATAAGCATTGTCAATACTTATACGCCCTTTATTTATTTAATTAAACTACGATATTTTAAATAATAACATGGCGTAAATAATTTTTGATACTTAAGATAGTGCCCAAATAGTTATTGGCAAGAAGATGGGACTGATTGAAATATAAAAAGGAGCCCATAGATATTTTTGGACTTCTCTTGGCATGTATATCTCACTCACATGAATTAAATAGGATGATTCTTTGCATTAGCTCTTTAGGTGATTAGGGCACAATCAATTCTTAAGGATATCTCAATTTAGTTTAATATTTAATGAATTTTGAAATAAGAAGTTATTAACCGTTGACATTTTAAGAGATAAATACAACTTTTGGGAATACTGTGGCGTATAAGTATTGTCAATACTTATACGCCCTTCAAATAGACCCAAGAAACTACGAATTTCCTGAGGTTATAGCAAACTTTTAAATGATTTGACAATAAAAATTGAACATACAAGCCCTTTCAAGCAATAATTAAAAAATTCAAAAAAAATCTCGAAATTTTTCTCTTTATGTGTTACTAATCGTTTTTTCTATCTCTCTATATATATTTTACTGTTTCTAATGATAATTCAATTTAAATTATAAAACTTTTTTAATTAAATGTTTTTTGTGTATTTGTATATTAGAACGGTACAAAGGTAATGTTCGAACCTATCAACTTTTTGCAAAGTAGCATTTCTTTTATGAGTTTTGTTTTGATCTACAAAGAAAGACAGAAAAAAAAAACGAAATAAACATTGTTTGTTAATTTAATTGGTTATGGTTATGTCCAACAACAACAACAACAACAAATTGCAAAAATTAACAATTCCCTGATCTCTGTATATGGTTAACCTTTGGTTGTTACAGGAACAATTGCCCCATCGCGCGATATGCCCGAATTAACGGCCGAGGATACAATTCGCATCATATTGTCGAACTTAAATTTAGTTGTGCCAGTTGTAGCGGCTTTGCTCGTCATTATAATCGCCATAATTGTTATTTGTATACTGCGTAGCAAAGGCAATCACCACAAAGGTATCTATAAAATGTTGAAAACTAATTTTGATTTTTTTGTCTCTCTCTCTCTTTCTGTCTCTTTTCATTTGAAATTTGAAAACCAAAAAAAAACGTAATCGATACACCAATGTCTGTCCATGTTATGTTTTAATTTGATTACAAATGTGTTATTGTCCTTTTTTGGTTCGGTTTGTTTGTGTTGTTTTTTGAATATTTGTATTATTTTGGGAACTCACACTCACACAACCACAAAAACCGAAATTTATCTAAAAACTATTCCAACAATAACAACCACTACAAAAAAAACTGCTTGCTTGACGTTAAATGGCTTTTGTATGTCTAATCATAATCAAAACAACAACAACAATAATCATGATAATGATGTTCGAAAATTTTGAAATATAATCTTTGAAAATTTAATTTCGAATAAAAATAAAAAAATAATTGCCACATTTTTTAAAATTAATTTTTTCAAAAAAATCTTGAAATTGTTTCTACTCAAAATTATTTAAATCGTTTCTAAAATGAATTTAAAAATTCATGACATTTTGAATAACGTAAATATGAATTTCCAAAAATTCTAATCATTTCTTTTTCTATTTCGAAATTTATTTGGAATATTGCAAAATAATCTAAAAATATTTTTATTAAAAATTTTACACAAATTCGAATTTAATTTTCGAATATATTTCGCAACATTCGAACATTCATTTTAATCAAAACAAATGCATGTATACGTTAAAAAATAACAACAAACACAACAACAATGAAATACAACAAATCTACGGCCTTATCCTGGACAATTAAATATGGAAACCGAAAAAAAAAAACTCAATAACCTCAAAAAGGAACCGTTGCCCCTCTCGACGATGGCCGAGGTTCTGGCAATTTACACACCCGCATACGTCTGCCCGCCTGGATGCCCGAATGGTTGGATCTAAACTTTATGGTACCCCTGATTGCCACCGTTATTGTTGTATTTGTGGGCATATTGGTTGTATGTGTTGCCCTGTCACGCCGGCGTTCGGATGATTTACGTGGAGGACAAAAGGATGTCTATTGTAGGTTGATTTGTTGTGATGTGGAATGCCTGAGAGTTTGTTCTCACTCTCTCTCTCCGTTTCACTTTGAGTGATGTTTCAAAACCAAAGAAGTTATTGCTCTTGTAAAAATTCACTACTAATTTTAATTCCAGAATTTTTTTTTATAATTTTTACTTATATATAATAATTTATTTTTTTCTTTTTTTAATATTTTCTTTATTTTTTATTTTATTTCTGTTTTTTTGTTGACATTTTCGAAACAAAATCGAAACACATAAAATCGATGGCCGCTTATCGTACACAACAACAAAGCGGAAATTTTACGTTTCAAAGGTCACTCATTATTAACTGAATATTTGAACTAAGTAAATAGAGTTATTCAGTTCTCTGTTTTAGTTTTTAATTTTTTTCTAATAGAGACTATAAGTGTTGTAAATATACATAGATATTTATAAATGTTATAGCATGTTTTGGATATATATACATTATATTTACACGAAACACTTTTTAACCAAAATTCCAAACAAAAAACAAACCAAAATTACCAAACATTTTACAAGAAAAAAAGACAATATCAATTGAATATTTTAATAAGGTTTGAAAATCAAAATATGGCTGCACACAAACAGGACTAAAAATAAATATTAAAAAATATTCTATTCTCCCATTTCCGCCCAAAGGAATGCTCTCTATGTCAAAAATATGAAGTGATTAGCTCTTAAGTTGAGATGGCGCCCAAACAATTTTGTCATTGAGAGGGCCCCCGTTAAAATGCCACAGAGTACTTAAAAGAAGGGAATTTCCAAAAACGTCCCTTAGCTCATGAATGTTTTCTAAAATGCCACCTTGAAATATGTTTTCTATTTGAAAATAAATATAGAGTTATTAACGCACGTTGGGAGCACCAAATACCACTATAACAAACCTGACTACCGCTAGTACGGTTAATGTCCGTTTTCCATTCCTATCCGAAAATATGCAATCAACGTGTAACATGTAGGCGAATAATTGGTGAACTTGAGATGTCGCTCGTTGAAAAACACATAAAAGCGCCAAGGATATTTTTATTTCATTTGAACCCTACTAGATACGTCGAAATTTTAAACACCACGTTCCTCATTTGGCTCTCATGTAAAAGGTCTCTCATGTGAAATTAGAACAAATAGCTATATGAGGAATTCAAAAAAAGAAAATGCCAGGTGTGAAAAAAGTTACAGTTTCTAGAACTCCTCCTATTTTTAACCTGAACCTTATGTAATTTTTTCATTAGTACAATTTCGGCATCACATAAATGTTTTGTTTAAATTTCCGCCCAAAAGCATGCTTTCAATGTTTAAAAATGGGGTTAATATTTTTTCACGTTCAGATGGCGCCCAAATGATTTTTGATATTGGGATAGCTCCTATTATATAGAATAGGGTCTTTTTGTTTATTTTGAACCTCTCTAGGTAAGTCGTATTTGTAAAAAATCCATGTCTTACCTCGCTCTCATGTTAAGGGATTCTCATGCTTAATTAAAAGAAATGTTAGTCATGCCGGGAAGGTGGTATAGTACCCTAAAGTGGAATTTTTAAAATTTCAGTTTTACTCTATCCCTGCAAACCAAATATGTATCTTATAACGCCTTCCTACTGGTCCGGTTAAAATAATCCCTATGTTTTCCTTTTCCGCCCAAAATTATGCTCTCTGAGTCAAAGTATTTGATAGAGATGGCGCTCGTTAAAAATGTGGAGGAGCACAAATAATCTTTCTGTGCCTGTCTCACTCACATCTCGCTCAATTGAAAAAATTAAGCCATGTGAGGAACTTAAAATCGAATTCCTAAAAACTCTGCCTTATCATCCACGCATACCATACCTGTACTTGTTTGTTTTCCGTTTAAGCCTATAGATGCAAATATGAGTTGAACAATTGTTCATATTGAGATGGCGCCCAAATTATTTTAAACCTTAAGATGGAACTTGTTAAAATATATAGAGAGGCTCAAGGAATCCTTTTACTCATTTTGAGCCTTTTATTAATCACACTTCCACGTAAAGCGATTCCAGTGTAATGTTGAAAAATATTAGCATGGTCTAGAAGTCACGGCATTCTAAACCTGAACCTTATAAACTTTCTCCCGTGTTAAGGCTATACAATATTTTCCATTTCCACGTAAAAGTATGCGCTCTATGCCTGAAAAATATGGTTGAATTATTTGGGATATTAAGATGGCGCCCAAGTAATTTTTTGAAATGAATATGGCGCTCATTAAAAATAAAATATTAATAAAATATATTAAAATATACAGATTCGCAACAAACATTTTTGCTAATTTGAGACATCTTAGGTACATCAAAAATCTAAAAGCCTCTCACGCAATATTAATATATTAAAAGTAGTAAAGGAGAAGGCTATATTTGTAAGTGTTCTCTTAATTTGAACTACAAACTCTTTTTAAATGAGTACGGGAACAATTCTCTATCAAAAAGTTGCAAAGATTTTCAAGTGTATAGATTGCTGCAACTAAAGGCCCGGTTACACATAATATTAGAGTACAGAAAGTTTGTGAAACGTCACTATATATAACTCTAATTCCTGTGGCGCCTTTTAAGTCTTATTCATACTTTTCAACCACCTGAAATGAAATCTGCTGATTCGATTTTTTTCGTTGATAAACGTTGAGAGCATTCGTTCGTCTACATTTTCAGTAGACAATGCTTTAAATAAACAAATATAAAAATGGATAAATAATTTTTGACATTGAGATGGCGCCCAAGTGCTTTTATTTTTTATTCAAGATGGCGCTCATTAAAATATACAGATAAGCACCAACGAACTTTTTTCTAATTTTGAACAGGCTTAGAACCATTGTCCAGCATTTATTTACTTCCAATTATAGCACGATTCAAAAATAAAAGTGATATTGGCATACATACAGATACAAACTTATTTTTATAAAGTCTTTATGTGTGCAAGCCATAAATTTAAAAAAAATTAAAAAAAAATTATAATTTCTAAAAAATAAATAAATACGAAACTTTACACATCTCATGAATACATACATATTCTAAAATAATTTCTGAAACCTATTAATGTACATAATTTCAGTGTTAATTTTTTGTGTATATATAAATTATAAACATGTATTTTATTTTTGTCATCTCATTAACCGAAAATTGGCAAAATATGAAAATTTTTGCGATACAAGATTAAAAGTACTCAAAAGTACCATCGTGGTATAAATATGGGTTCTCTCAAGGCTAGCCTAAAAAGAATCTCTAAGGTGGAGTTTTTATAACCAACAAATCAATATAAAATCCAACGAGCTCTAAAACGCCTTTAAAACGGATAATTCTAACAAAAGACAGTACAGAGTACCTTTATTGCCTTGTCTGGAGGCTCAATATTTATACCATGAAATGAATAGAACAATATTCCCCAATATTAGTTAAATGTTGTAGAATAATACCCTAAAAAGGATATAGACCCCTTCTCCCCCCACTCAACTAAAAACCATACCCCTTATTGTGGATTTTTTTATTTTGTTTTTGACAATAAGGATCTCATACCCCTATAAATATACTTATATATCATACTATAAACAAATTTTCTGTCTCCCCAGTCTCTCACTACTATCCCAACTTAACTGTGTAAATATTACTCCACCAAAATATCAATTAGTTTTTTTTCTCATTCCAACTTGGACTCTTTTCTCCACTATCTTTCACTCAAAATTCGTTCCCAAAATTAAATGTTTTTTGCATATTTTTGTGTTACTACATATTTTTGTGTGTAAAATTGACATTTCTTAAAAACACCCCCCTTCACCCACCCCTCTTTCAAATATTATTCCCCAATTTTATAAAAAAAATAAATAAAAACTAAGATGCTTTTTATATAAAAATAAAATATTGAAATTGGAAAATGAATTAAAAAAACAAATAGTAATCGCAAAAATCCAAATTCTCTCGCTGTAATCATTCATGAAGACATTAATTAATTGTTCTTAAAATTAATCTTAATTTTTCTATTTCCTAATTGCAAAAAGAGAAAACACCTTTAAAGAACAACAAATTTGTTTGGTATATTTGGTAATTGTTTATTTAAGTTTCTTTGGAACCAGTTGTAAGCACCCTGTAATTAATTCTTAGCAAATTGAGCAAAACCAAAATAACTAGCCCAGGATTGTGAGTGACTTGTTGAACAAAAAAAAGACGTTTCATGAAGTATGGCACCTAAAATTCGAATGATTTGTGATTGTTTCATTAAATGCACCAAAAAATATTAAAAAAAAAAAATAATAAACAGAAGTAAAGTAAAAAAATTAAGAATGTTTAAAATTTTCGCTAATGTTCTAACAACCACAAAAAAAAAAACAAAAAAGAGAACTCTTCCTAAAAAACTGGTAAAAGCATCTTCAGTATTTACAACACATATCTTTTCCGTTCTTTTGGACCCGACAAATATTAATTCTAGATGATGTAGTTTATAATCAGACAATGGGACCTGGCGCCACCCTGGACAAGAGACGACCCGATTTGCGTGATGAACTCGGCTATATTGCACCACCCAACCGCAAGCTGCCACCCGTACCCGGCTCCAACTACAACACCTGCGATCGGATCAAGCGAGGTACAGTGATAAGTAAGCATCTAAATTTTCCAAAACAACATTTATTAATACCAACTGGAAGTTTTTCTTTTTTTATCGAATTCCATCGTTTTGATTTGATACATTTTCGATTGCATTCTCTTTTTTGTTGCCAAGAAAAACCAAAAACAAAATGCAAGCAAGCAAGGATAATATATTTATACATACAAATCTGAAAATACAATATACACAATCCTGTACATGCGAATAAGATCCTTGCATAATTTTGTCCATACAGCAACAAGAACAACAGGCTTTAGCTTCTTTGAAATCATACAAACTGAAAACTACATATCTCTACTCGAGAAGCCCATTACCTCATGTTCATTACAAAGAGAAACTTAATTTCTTTCAATTTGGTGTCGTTAAAAAAACATTATTATTTCAAATGTAGAATTTTTAAGGCTTCTTTTTTGCCTTAATAATTTTTATAAAATAGTTGGTGTTTTGCATGTAATATTTTATTTTTCAAAAATAAATGTTGTTGGAAATTTAGATTTTTTATAATATTTCATACTTTTATATCAATATTTATATATGTGTTTTATCAATAATTAATTAATGGAAAATTAATTGGAAGTTTGATCACTTAAGGAAAACAACACAAATAAAAATCAATGGAGAAAAATCAGCTGATTGACTCACATTTAAAAGTTTCCCCTAAAAGTAAGCAATACTTAAGCAAGATAAACAATAATACAAGACGTGTCTGTTGAATACATATTTGGTTATAATTCGTATTGAATTTTACTGTATGTCGTCTGTTTTTTTTTTAAGACCAAAAAAGCCAATAATTTATCAGATGTTTGCTCGACTTCGGGTTTTCTTTAGATCGCCGTTTCACAAAACCCTACCATATTAAACCTCTACACCATATTTTCAATAGAGAATTTCAATTATTTCGCCAAATACAATGTCTAACATATGCAAGGTGGCACAAAAGTAAACTTCCGATGTTTTTTGGCTGTAATTTAAAAAAAAAAAAAAACTTTGATTTTAGATGAGTTTTATTTGGTCCTTTAGTTTTTTATATAAAGTCGAGAATATGAGCTCTTTTTATGGCATTTTCCATCATTTTGGTCAAAACTTCCTTCTTCTTGACGGATACAGTCTTTCAGAGCTGAAAGAGTCTGATGCTTGTTCACATAAACCCTCGACCTCCAAAAGCCTCACAAAAAGAAGTCTGGATCGGTCAAATCAGGCAATCTTGCTGGCCAGTTCAAATCTCCAAAACGGGAGATAAAGCGCCCGGGAAATGCATCCTTCAGCATATCACTTGTGCCACGTGCAGTGTTGCCGTTGCTGTCGGCAAAAAGAAGTCGTTAAGCGGACTCTTCGTGTGTTACACGCGATTTTTCAGTGCCCAAGAAGCGAAAATTTTGCTTATTTACGTACCCGCTAAGATGGAAATGGGTTTTATCACTCATGATTATATTTGATGAAAAATCATCTTCTTCTTAGTGGTGTATATGGATGGCTTGAGCGTATGTTAGACGCGATTGGCCGTCAGCAGCTAACAGCTGATGCACCATCTGGACTTTGTACGGAAACATCTTTAAATCTTGCACCAAAATTCGATGTAAAAACCGCCGACTGATATCCATTTGCGTGGCACGTAGCTTCCATGACATCCTCGGCTACAGCAGTAATATTTTCTGCAGAACGGATACTACGGGGTCTGCCACGCCGGCAGCGTCTTTGCCATCGTCGCAGTGTTTCACCATTAGGCGTTGGACGGCCGGGAAATCTGCGATGAAATTCATATTGTGCCAAAGTCACCGATCGATTAAAGACCGATAAATAGTCACCAATATTCCGCGTTCTGGAGCTGTGTAACGTAACATTGTTTATTTGTGTATTTCGCATGTGTTAACTACAAATATGTTAAAACAGGACTGATATTAGGGGCCAATCTTTCCAAAGATCTTTATGCCCATTTTAAAACCTCCTTGAATGGAATTCGCCTCATCTGTCATCTTATGAAAGGTGCCTTATTCAAATATATGATCGGACGAAATTGTCGCAAGAGAGAACATTTATAATATCATGTTCAAATATTGTCGGAGAATTATCTGTTTCATACTTTTTTGTGGTTAACAGATCTTTCTCGTACGGAACGCCATCTACATTTCAAATTATTCATAAATAGTGTTTTTTTTTAATTTTCTGCTCTAAAGTAAAAGCTAATACAAAACAGCGAGTTCTGATAAGCTATATTTAATAGTTTAAATATCGCTAATCAGAACTCGCTGTTTTGTATTAGCTTTTACTTTAGAGCAGATAACAGTATCAGACGGTTATTTAAGTCTCCTGAATTTAAAAAAAAAGATATGTCCAAGATTTCATTGCATCATCCGGAGAACGCCATCTACGTGTTAAATTGTAAATTGTTTCTTTAAAAGTACACCTATATTTGAAGAAGAATACACCTATGATAGTTTTTTAATTGAATGATTCGGCAATGCCAGCTACATTTGAATGTTAACTATGTCCTTTGTATTATCTGAACAGTTAAACTCAGACTAAGCTAAGTTAAAACAAACCCAAAATAAGAATATTAAAGAACCAATCGACATAATCTCACTGCCTTGTTGATGTCAGGATATAACATTTTAAAATTAATACACCCGAGATCTTAGCGCAAGGAAGAATTACAATAAACAATCGACAAAACGCCATCTATAATTCAGTGTCGACAACTATACTATTTCTTTCTTTTTGGGATTATTACAAAAAATTTACAAAACTTGAATTTTTCAAGGGCTAATTAAGAACATATTTATTTTATTTCATGGGTTCTCTGTTAACAGTATGAGAATATAATTTTCCTATATCTGGAAAAAGAATCCATTCAAGATTTGATGTTAATGAATCGTCACATTTATGACCATGAAGTTATTACTTTTACTGCGACACGTTTTTCATATCCAAATAACGAGTTGAGACTTGATAAATATCTAATGAAGTACAAATCAGGATCCTGACATCATTTAATTGTTCATTATAAAATCTGCGGAACGCCCTCTATAGTTCACCTTTACCAATTTTTGTGAATAATGGATTTTTTGTTAATTTTCGAATTTTTATAAAAAAAGAAACAAAATACAAATTTTGTAAAGCCTAATTCAGAACATATCAATAATTTTATCTGAGTATTTTGTTGTTAGCGGTAAAAATTCTCCTACATGTGAAGAATTTTTTTTGGCTAGAGCAGAAAACGTTCAGGTTTCTCTGAAATAAATAAAAAAATACATTTTTAAGGATTAAATAAATCTTGTGGCTTATATTTTCTTCAATTCAAAAGAGTAACAAAAGCTGGTATTTATCCCTTGAGTTTAAGAATTATCAAAAGAGGGTTAGATTTTTTTATGAAAAACTTTGTGTTGCCTAAAAATAGGCAACATTTTATGAACTATTTTTTATCTGACTTCCAATTAGTTTTCTCATAAAAATTATGTAAAATATAAAATTGTTTTTAATTTTTACAAATACCAATGTAAATGTTTCCTTTTAATTTCTTTTTCATATTTTGATGGCTTTTTAAACAATTACTTTTGTGTTGCTATATCTGTGTGTGTATTTATATCAAAAACAAAATGTATTAATTTAAACAAAAAAATCCCGAACAACACATATCCTCAACAAATAACCCAAAAACCAATGCCCCATTCCAAATGATCCGGTATCAAACTACCTTCCACCCAAAAACATGTACATTTTTTGGAAATATGTAAAACGAAAATATGTGTGTATGTGTTTGGTATATATAGCACGTGGTGGTATGCGTTCAAATCACTCAACTTGGGATCCCAGACGACCCAATTTATACGAAGAATTGAAACCACCACCAGTACCCGCCCATGGCAATCATTACGGTCATGTCCACAATATCAATGAATGTACCTATAAGCATCCAGGTAGGTTGTGGTTTTCATTTGTTATTATTTTTATATTTTGTTGGTTAAGTTTGTTAAATATTTAGTTGATGTTTTATTTGTTTTTGAAATGAAAGTCCAGTTCGAAATGTTATATAGTTGTAAGACTAATAGATTTATTAAAAATTAAACTCAACCCAACCCAATGTGGATCTTTTGACTAACAAAATTACTAACTTTTGATCATGAATTGTCAATAAAATGTAGTCTTAAACTGGACTTTCAAGACGATGATTTTAATTTTAAGTATTTTTTTTTTTTTTTTTTTTGTAAATATTACTAACAATTATTATAAATTTCGTAAAAAAAAATATGGGAAAGTGTAAAATACGACATTGATTTAATAACAATCAATATCTATCAGAGCAATAAGCAAGTTTCCCCCCTCTTCCACATTTCTTGAAAATTTCGTATAGAGATTCCTTGAAATCCATTGATCTTAGGTATGTGGAGTCTTCTATTGCAGATAAAAATATGAGAATTATTTTAGTCGAAAAGTTAACCCTCAAGAGAGCAAGCAAAGGGGTCTTTTTGGTCCTTAAAATCACTTTATGGTTAAAAAAAACTACCATAAAACACATTTTAGGGTTATGTGAATTTATGAAAAAATCTCCTACAAAACATCATTTTAGAAGGATGATATCAAAGACAAAAATATTCTTCACCAAATTTCACTATTAGTCTTCAAACAAAAGAAATCTCTGTATCCATTGCATATCAAAATAATATTTGCATCAATGTTCCCAAAAGAACTAAAATATTCTTTCATGTGTTCTTATATTTTTTTCTTGGCCTTTTTTCGATTTAACGCCTGAAAGTAACATAAAATTTTGTTTTTGGCGAAAGGTGTCAAAATAAAAATTTTACAGAAATTTTCACTATAAATCTCAGAATAAACCATACATTTCGGAACGATAGTTTTGAGGAAAATTACATTCGAAATTTATATATTAAAAGCGAAAATTATATTGTTGCCTTTTTATTGTTAATTTCACACATTTCCAATCCAAGTCAAAATCTCCCTTTATACTTAATTTTTTGGGGAAAGTCTCAAAGGAAGAATTACTCTAGATCAAATTTCAGTGTGAGTCTCTGAACAAAAGAAATTTGTATTTTCAATGTGTACCATGACAAAATATCAGAAATGTTTGTTAATAAAATACCTTGTTTATTTTTAAAAATGTTTGCACTTCTCCCCAATTCGCTGCAAATGTTTTTATAGTTTCATAGCACAATTGCTAGTCTGGGTAGTAGAGTTTCGGGTTCTTCGGGCCAGACGTCAAGGCTTTTTGTATAGGTTTGACTAAATGCCAAGAGACTCCTATATTTCGCAAAATTAAGGATACAGGTTTGGATTTTTTTGGCTAATAATAGGACATATCATTCCACTTTTTGGAATACCCCATACACAGGGTGAGATAAAAAATCTGCAACAAAGTCAAACGCCACAATTTTTATTTTTTTTAATTTATTGAATGAAAGCAAAAAAAATTCGGAAATAGCATCAAATTTCAGAGTAAGTTGAGATTTGTTCAAATTGGTCACCTTTGGCCTTCAAACGGCTAATGAAACCGTCACATGCTGCCCGAATGTTGCTCTGCGGTATTTTGGCCCATTGCCGGTGAAGCACTTGCTTGTGGTGATCGACACTTTGGTATTTTTTAGTGCCAACCTTGCTCTCCAAAATACTCCAGACACAATAGCCCAACGGATTGGTATCCGGACATTTTGGTGGTCATTGTGCGCTGGAAATGAAGCAATGATGCTGAGTCCTGTTGGAATGTCCAAGGTCTGCGGTCAAAATGTTTATGTTCCCAAGGCTTTAATACACCCTCCAGAATATTTTTGCGATGATATTCTGCATTTATTCTGATGCCACGGTCGATTAATACGAGCGGGGAGCGACCATCGGCTGTTATGGCGGCCCACACCATTACCATGGCTGGCGCTTGAGTTCTGGTGGCCAACCGAAGGTTCACATTTGTAGCTGACCTCTTTGTTTGTTTACAAACTGCTGGACAACGAATGTTTCTCATCGGAGAAACCCAAATTCGGCAGTTCACCACTTTCGGCCAAGCGACGAAACTCTTTAGCTCTTTTGAGTCTATTTTCTTTCCGTTGCGGTGTGAGTTCTTGCACTTTTTGGAATTCCAATAGCCTTACCCTGAGCTCATTTTTCATTATTTGCGAATGGAATATTGCGATATGCTCAGCTCACGAGCCACTTTTCAAAAAGATTTATTCGCCTAAATGCTGGAGTGCTTTAATGATAGCCACTTTTGGTTTTCCAGCCAAATATAAAGAAATCACACTGTCACGCTTTTTTTTTTTTTTTTTTTTTTTTTTTTTTATTTTTATTTATTTAAATTCGTGTCAAATATTACAATTATATATACAAGTTCTGAGATTTTACTTTTTATAGTATTACAGCAGGTAAATTCAAATTGGTTTAACCATATTATCTAAATAAAATATCACAGTTAAGGAGAAAAAGGAATGGAAAACCTTTGAAGGACTTTGATTAGTTTAAGAAATTTGGAAAAAATAGGAATAAGTCTTCTTTTAAGATAAAAGTAGATTATACAAAATTTTTATAATAAATTTCTTATAAGACTGTAGTTAGATCTTCTGCATCGTTCTTCGAATGACAGAGTCTGTTGCCGCATAACCATTTCAATGGTTTTATGTCCGTAACGAGAATGTAGATGACTTGTAGAATAACGCCAAATAAGATTATGAATGATTTTTAAGTTCTTGTTTTGTATTACTTGCAGTTTTTTAATAAGATAATTAGCAGTTTTGTTATACCAGGCTTGACAAGCATACGTCATAATCGGTCTTATACACATTCTGTAAAGTAAAACTTTATTATGTATATTCAGCTTAGATCTTCTATTAAGTAACGGGAATAAAGACCTTCCACACTTAACTGCCTTTTCTACAATTTGGAGAATGTGTTCTTTAAAGGTTAATTTACTATCTAAAGTAACACCTAAGTATTTGATAGATTTTTTTATTTCAATGTTATTTCCCTGTATTTGGAGAGGAATGCTGGGAATACGCTTTGGCGACTTATTAAATGGGAAAATTATGGCTTGCGTTTTTTCCTTGTTTATTTTGATCTTCCATTTATTGAAATACTTTTCCACATGTTGTAACGATAATGCGAGTTGCTTTGTGATAGCATTTGAAAGTTTACCCGAGCATAGAAAGGCACTGTCATCAGCGTAAAAAGCGGCGTCATGACTCCTTTTGATTGTAATATCCGAGGTAAAAATTGAGTATAAAATAGGTGATAGAACGGATCCTTGTGGCAGACCAGCTGGAATATTTCTTGTTGACGAAAAACAGTTTTCTAGGTTAACGAAAAAAGTACGACCCCTTAAAAAATTCTGTATGATTTTTTGAAGATACAATGGGAAGTTTAGCTTGTTAAGTTTGAAAACCACGCCGTCATGCCAAATTGAGTCAAAAGCTTTTTCAATGTCAAGTAAAACAACACCAGTACTTTTACGAGCAGCTTTGTTTTGTTCAACGATGTTAATTATTCTTTTGATCTGGTGAACTGTTGAATGTTGACTGCGGAATCCAAACTGTTTACAATTAATTATATTTTTTTCTTCCGTATAATCATTGATTCGTCTATAAATAACCCTTTCAAAAAGTTTTGAAACGGAACTTAACAGGCTAATTGGCCTATAACTATTTGGACTTTTTGGATCTTTACCATTTTAAGAACCGGGATAACTTTAGCCTTCTTGAATACCATTGGAAAGCTTCCGTTTTTTAAAAAGCTATTGAATATGGAAGCAATCGTGTCATAAAAGGTCGTTGACATGTTCTTTAATATAATATTGCATACACCGTCAGCTCCAGGCGCCTTATTATTCTTAAAACTGCGGGCTATTTCGAAAATTTCTCCTGCACTTGTTAGTTGGTCTGTATTTAATTGTCCAACACAAGCGTTTTCAATACTATTAACAACTTTGTAGACTTTTGAGTTCATCGGTGATTGGTAGTTTAGTGTAATCTCATGTGAGTTCTGAAAAATATTCGCTATTAAATTTGCCTTTGCATCCAACGATGTTATTTGAATTCCATTAAGTTTAAGAGGAGGGACCGACGAAGGTTTTCCTTTAATATATGTTGATATTTTCCAAAACTTTTTGCTACCTGTGGGAAGATTTGATAACAAATTTGACCATGTTTCATTTCTATCTTTGTCCAGATGATAGTCTATAAGCCTGTTTAGCTGCTTCATAATGGTTTTTAGCATGTTCCTGTGTAACGGATCGGCTGTCCTTTGATATTTACGCAAAATAGTTTTTCGCTGTCTAATTAGGCTTATAGAGAGGTTGGATATTTTATTTAAATATGGTTTTGGGGTTTTATATGGAATTAGGTCATTAACAGCCTTTAATATATTTATTAATTTTTCCAAAGAGGATTCACCGATATCTTCTGTGAGAATTTGTGACCTAATTTCACTATCCACCCGTGTTCTTATTGCAGGCCAATCTGCTAGATGGTACAAAGGAAATTTATTTTCGCTAACTGCAATCGAACCATAAATATGGCAAGTAATAGGCACATGATCAGAAATTAGTGCATCTGGATGAGTCTCTATATCAGATATTGGTAAAGATGAATTAGATATTAAGATATCGACGGTTGATGGTGTCGTTGGAGTAGAATTTTGTCCGAATCGTGTTGGATTTGGAGGATAGTAGACATATAGATTTGTCTGGTTTTGGTAATTAAAAAGAATATTTCCGGCGGCATTATTATTTGAGCAATTCCAACTTTTATGCTGCGCATTAAGATCGCCAAATATAAATACATCATTTGTTTTATTAGACAGCGTAATCAAATCTTCTTTAAATATTGATTTGTATTGTGGAACATAGACTGATGTAATTATAGTATTTCTGCCGCTTATTTGGAGAGAAATGCTTAAACTTTCGGAGGCATACAATTTATCTTTTGTAATTAGTTCATGTTTAATGGTTTGCTTAATCCCTACCATTACTCCACCGCCATGCGACCGACGGTCGTTTCGATAAATTTTATAACCCCTAATTTTAAATTTATGGTGAGGTTTGAGAAATGTCTCGTTTAAAAGAAATATGTCAATTTGTTTTTGACGCAAAAAATTATCTAGTTGCATTTTTGCTGAATTAGTCGTTATGCCCTGACAGTTCCAATGCATAACATGAATCTCATTAATGTTGTATGAATTATAATGCATGACGCAACATCATACCTAGAACTCGTAGCTTATCATATTTATTTCTACACTTTTGTAGAGCATCGACAGCTTCGAAATATATGTCTAACAACTTGTCGTTCGATAAATCGTCAGTATCATCAGCATGCTTATTATTGCTTAGAATGCTGGAGTAAAGAATACGATTACCAGCTGTTCGTTGATCAGCTGAAGAAGCATGTGTTGTGTGTGCACCTGCTGTGGCTGGTCTAACACGCGGTCTATTCATATCTGTTGTTAAATCAACAGCTGATTGATTTGAAGTGCCTTTGTTGTTGTGCCCAACTTCGGGAAATTCGTTTGTATCAAAACAGAACTGATCAACATTTCGCCTTTGGGTACCAGGAACTGATCGTGATGTTATTCTCCTTCGCATTTCTAAATATTCTTGTCTGCAAGGGCTCTTGGGGTCGTCTGCTTTATGGTTCACATTTTTTAAGTTCTTCTTCGAACAATTAAAACATTTATACACCACAGGGCCCTCATGCTGTGTTTTATTGAGAGTGCAGACAGATGAATCATGGTTTCCAGCGCATACAGAACATACCGCTGATCGGTGACAGTTTTTAGAACCGTGCCCATACATTGAACACTTTTTACAAAACGTGGGACCTTTGTTGCCTTTAATTGGGTTTCTCCACTTAATACTGATTCCAAAATATATCGTATTTTGCGTATTTCCTTCTTTGACACTTGATTACGGTCGAATTCTAACATATAAATTGCGTCGTCCGCGCTGGAGCGGGTCGTATTTATTTCTTTCACACTTTCAGGGACTATGTTATGAGTGTGTTTAAATTCTTCTATTATCGATTTAGAATCACGTCTTGGAAGGCCGAAGACAACCAGTTTAAAACACTTGTTATTTCTCAGATCGTGAGTATAGAATTTACTGCCGTGTTGAGTGAGTTTTTTGATTGCTTCTTCGTACAACAATAAGGAACTAGAAGTAACCTTTGTTCCGATGGACATTCGTTTGAATTTATATTGGGATCCCATTAGTGCAATTACCTTCGTGAAACTGGTTTCTTCGTCGACCACTATAGGGGGAAACTTTTCTTTCCGGGTTGAGATTTCGCCTTCCTCATCACCAGATGTGTCCATATCATCTGTATCGAGGGCTTTGTAACGATTGGACGAATCTAGAGCTGTTGAAGTTCTTGGATATTTAAACCGTGGATTGTTTCCAACAAACTTCGATCTTCGTTTTATATTTTTAGTTGCCATAGGCAATTAATTTTACGAAATTGAATAAAAAGTTTTTAATATTTTACTTTTCAAAAAAATTGTATTTGCGCACAGAAAAAAACGTGTGGTATCAGCTGATTACCAGAGAGCACTGTCACACTGTCACGCTTGAATTCTATCACGAATAACTTTTTTTCTGGAAAATTCTCACTTTTGCTTTTGTTCGCTTGTAAACAATATAATGAGCTGTCACTGGAATAATTTTAACAGCTGTCGGACGAGTGTCTTAGAATTGACAGCAATCTGAAGTTGGTTGCAGTTATTTCATCTCACCCAGTTTTTTCATCGCACAAAGGGAACTTGTTAGTGATTTTTTCTTGCAAGCACTGCATGAGCTTCGGACGTTAATTTTATATAATTTTTATTAACAGTATCAAGAAATTTAAACACTTTCCCTAGATATTTGTTGTCTATTTTATTCTCTCTATATTTCATTTTATCTTCATTTCACCTTATTTTCTAACAATTTAAGTTCATTTCCTTATAATTAATTCTCTTAACAACTCTTAAACTTGCTCATTTACTAATGGTCCTGTCGTCTAACCATTTCCATTAATAGTAAGTACTCTATAAATAATAAAATAATATTAAAGGTAATTCCGATATCAAACTTCATTATTGCATGTAAATCAGCTCACCTTTTTGCATCCCATCAAATAAAAAGATATCATTTTTTAATTTCTCTTAAACACCAACAACAAACTGACACTCTGTTTACACTAATTGTTTTTAAAAACCCAGTTTTCTGCAATTTTCTAATTCAAATTTATTTGTCCCTATAAAAATAAAAATCCTAATGCAGGCATGGAAGATGAGATCTGCCCCTATGCCACTTTCCATCTGTTGGGCTTCCGCGAAGAAATGGATCCTACCAAGGCAATGAACTTCCAGACCTTCCCCCATCAAAATGGTCATGCTCCACCCGGTCATGCTGGTACCATGGGACCACCTGGACATCCTGGACACATGCACTCACGCTCCGGTTCTCAGTCGATGCCACGTGCCAATCGTTATGCCCGCAAGAATAGTCAAGGTGGCCAATCGTCGATTTACACACCCGCTCCTGAATATGATGATCCCGCCAACTGTGCTGAAGAAGATCAATATGTAAGGGAGATTAAAGAATAATAAATTAGATTTGGATAACTTTAATTCTCCCTTTTTAATTCCAATAGCGCCGCTACACCCGTGTCAACTCCCAAGGTGGCAGCTTGTACTCTGGCCCCGGACCCGAATATGATGACCCAGCCAACTGTGCTCCCGAAGAAGATCAATACGGCTCTCAATATGGCGGTCCATATGGTACACCTTACGATCATTATGGCTCACGTGGTTCCATGGGAAGACGTAGTGTTGGTAGGTGTCAATATTTTGAATTAAATATTTTTCAATGCCTTATTTGTAATGCCTTTTGTGTAAAATTCGACTACTTACAGGTTCCGCCCGCAATCCCGGTGGCAACAGCTCTCCCGAACCCCCACCACCACCACCACGCAATCATGACATGAGCAACTCATCCTTCAACGACTCCAAGGAAAGCAATGAAATATCTGAAGCCGAATGTGATCGTGACCATGGACCACGTGGCAATTATGGCGGTAAGTTTTAAGGATTTTGTATTTCAACTATTACATATATTAGTTATATTATGTATGTATGTATACACATATCATATCACAGCTACATATTCGTATCAGACAGCTTCAAACTAATATTGTTATTAACTACACTGGCCTACAGTTTTGAAATGATTAGTTGTGGATTTGAAAATTTGGAAAGTTTGTGAATTTTCCAACAAATATTGAATGCTAAAAATTGAGACTATAGGACCAACCAGCGCGAAGGAGGAATATTAGGACAGTAAACCTGGATTTGTAAAAATGGATTTTTAGGAAATTTTATTATGCCCACCACCTTGGAAAGGAGGGTATATTAACTTTGTCATTCCTTTTGTAACATCCCTAAATATTCGTCGTAGACCCCATAAAGTGCATGTATTTATAATCAGCATAAAATTCTAAGTCGATTTAACGATGTCCGCCTGTCCGTCTGTCTGTCTGTTGGAATCACGATACAGTCCAAATTATTTGACGTAGATCTTCAAAATTTAGGAGAACAATTTGTATTGTGCTTAGGATGGTTCGGATTGAAAATGAGATTTATCGGTCCACGTTTTGGTATAGTCCTCATATAACGGTACCTCCCGATTTTTGGCCTTTGGTTCTGCCTGCGGTGGCGAATGGCGTATGTGTAGGTCCACGTTTTTGGTTGGTTTTAGTATTTTGATGGTTTTAGCGACGTTATTAACCGGAATTGTTTCAAACTTGGTATTTGAAGTTCGTAATGACAAAAAAATCATAAGCAGGTCCACGCCTTCGGATAGTCTACATATAACAGTTTTCATTTAAGTGGTAGTTTCCGGAAGTTTTTTGGAAATTTTCAAGTTCTTTCCAAATGGTGGAGAGCTTTAAAAGTTCGGGCCGGCCGAACTTAACTGCCTTTTTACTTGTTCTAGTTTTAATTCGAGGACTATTAGAACAGTAAATTTTAAAGAAATGTAATTGAAATAAATTCTTAAACAATTTTTATGGAATGTAAGAAGAGTAAGTGTGCATTTTTAAAGGATTTTTTTGAGGACTCTCAGTTCAGCATACGTGAATTTTTGAAAAAATTATTCCGAAACAATTAGGAACGGAAACGTAGATTTTTGGGATTTTTCAAGGATTCTGAGGACAGTTTTTATTTAAGGACTATTAGGACAATAAACGTGGATTGTGGAAATTTTAATCCGAGGTCTATCAGTAAATTAAACATGGACTTTTATAGAATTTTCATTCAAGCGGTTTAAAAAAAAAAAAATCATTAAAAACTACCAGGACAGTGCATGTAGATTTTTAAGGAATTTGTATTAAATGACTATTCGGAACAGAAAATTTTATGTATGTTCTAAGGGCTATCCGGACATTATTTTTAAATAATTTTAATTCAATAATGGTAAGGAATTTTTCTTCCAAAAATATTTGAGATTTTTTAAGAATTTTTACTGTAGGACCACAAGAGGATTTTTAAAAGGACAATCGCAATAATAAAAGTAGTCTCCTAGAGCATCCAAAGTTGACTTATGCAAACATTTTTTAGATTTTAATTTTTTTAGGTTTTTTTTTTATTAAAGGACTACCACAGTATCCAATCGTGATTTATTATTATAACTGGTTTTCAATTTGTCCTTAAGGACCAATCGTAGTTTTTTTAAAAATTAATGTTGAAAGACTATCAGAACTTCCAAGTGGAATAATTTTAATCTTTTACTTTACGACTATGAAGGCAATCATGTAATTTTTCAAAAATAGTATTTTCAAGGAATATTAAGGCAATATAGGTAGATTTTCATTTCTTTAATAAAAGAGAAATATTTGTTTCAAGGACTATCAAGGCAATATAGGCAGATTGTAATTTAAAAAAATTAAATTTTTAAAAAATATATAATATAATTATTTTTTTTAATAAAACAATATTTTTTCCATGTTTTCCCAACTACTATCAATAATTTAAACACTTTTTTCAAGTAAAATTACATTTTAAAGGAAATTCATTTTCAAATCACAACTAATTTACCCTGTAGGCCAACCATATATGTATATGTATGTAATATCTAAATATGTATTATTTAATCATAATTATCCAAAAACAAATACTGTGATTTATCATTCAAAAAAATCTCTATTTTGTTTATCAACTAATTCTATATGTATGTACATAAAACGAAAAAAAAAAACAATGTGAAACAAAAACTAAATTTTTAACAGAAGATACTAAAGATGGTGAGTGACATTGTAACCAGACAATCAAAACGTATTGAGTGTGTTAATCGTTTAGTGATCATCACATTCCCTGTCACCAACAACAACAACAACTTCCACCTCACCTATCACCATTGAGAATCATTTATCACTGTCTCAAATAGAATCCAAAATATTCATTATATCGCCCACAACAAAATTCACTCATGAGCGATCGATCAAATATTCATATAGAAAAACTATAGTTTATAGAGGAAAATTATTTATTGAAAAATATAAAAAAATAAAAATCGATTATTGGTCTTTCCGAGAGAGATATGTTGACATATCGTTTATTATTAGGAGCAAGGGGTCTTAATTAAGTTTTCTATCTAAGGTTTTTCTTATTTGTTTTATAATGAGAAAAACCTAAATTCAGAAGACCAAATAATCGAGAACACCTGTAACAGACCCCTGTATATATATTTCATGTAGAATAATATAAAAATAAATTAAAATAAAGCAATTAGAGCACATAATTAGATAATTATCATACAAATATTCACAGGCCAGTTTATATTAAAATATATAAAAAATACTTGAAAAACAAAATCTTCCCAATATTAGGAATTTTAAATTTTCGACACAAATCCTAAACTTGTGTTAAAATATAAAATTAAAACATAAATCCCAATTTGAGTTAGGCAACTAAACAATCGTTACATATTTCATAAATCATGAAATCACATATCCAACTCTACAGCATACAATATTCGAAATCATTCAGAATTTAATCATACTGTGTTTTGCGCTAATTATAATTTATGTTTTTTTAATATACATATTTTTATTTGTGTGTTTTTATACAAAATTGTGTTTAACATTTTTTTGTGGTTTTTTGGTTTCATTTCATATTAAAATTGCAAAAATTTCCATTTAAATTCATGCACTTTTCATATATATATTTAGATACATTCGCATATTCACATACGCTTATTTGTACAAATATATATCATATTGCACCAAATTTCATTTTATTTTTTTTTTTTTTTTTTTGTGTAACTAAACAAAATTGTACTTTTTTCATTATATATATTTTTTTATTTTTTTAAGATTTTTATACCCTCCACCATACTATGGAGGGTATATTAATTTTGTCATTCCGTTTGTAACTCCTCGAAATACTCACGTCAGACCCAACAAAGTATATATATTCTTGATCAGCGTAAAATTCTAAGACGATTTAGCCATGTCCGTCTGTCTGTCTGTGTGTCTGTCTGTCTGTCTGTCTGTTGTAATCACGCTATCTTTCGAACGAATTGAGATAGAAGGCTAAAATTTTGCACACGTGTTCATTTTTTCAGTAGGCAGGTTAAGTTCGTAAATGGGTCATGTAGGTCCAAGTTTTCATATAGCCCCCATATAACGGTACCTCTCGATATTCGGTATTTTGATGATTTTAGCGACATTATTCACCGGAATTGTTTCAAATTTTTCATTTGAAGTTCGTAATGGATACTACAGCCTAAGACAGAAAATTATCTGTGCAGGTCCACGTCTTCGTATAGGCCCCATATACCGTACCCCCCGATATTCGGTATTTTGATGATTTTAGCGACATTATTTACCGGGATTGTTTTAAATTTCGCATTTGAAGTTTTTTTGGAAATTGCCAAATTTGTACCAAATGGTGGAGGGTATTAAAAGTTCGGCCCGGCCGAACTTACAGCTTTTTTACTTGTTTCTTCATAAAAATAAGATTTATCAAAGAAATATTCAAAGACTAGTAAAACAATACAGAGGGGTTTTGGGATTTTTATTCAGGAAATAGCAGAGCAATAAACGAGAAGGTTTAAAAAAAATTTTCATCTAAAAACCAATGTGATTTTTTTTTCAAATTTTTAAATACGGACTATCAGAACATAAAACGCAATTTTGTCACGAATTTTTAATAAAGGATTGCTTGAGAAGTTTCATTGAGAGAATATCACAGAACTAAACACTCTTATCCAAGTACAAACAGCGACTTTTTGGGACCTTTTATTATGGGATTATAATAATAAAGATGTCTCAAACACCCTCAGAAAAAAGACTATTTTCAAGAGTTATCATGACCATAAACGTGGATTTTTTGAGAATTTTATTTCAAGGACTCTCAAGGCATTAACATGATTGTTATTATTATTGTTATTATTTTCATTATTATTGTTATTATTTTCAAGGACTTAAATGCTTTTATAAGCACTCAGAAGAGTAAACATATATTTTAGGAAACTTCAATGACCAAATCACGATATTTTTTATTCAATTACTATCGAAGTAGGTAACATGAATTTGAAGAGTTTTTAATGAGGGATCAATATGTATTTTTAAGGATTTTTTATAGATTTTTATAACTATTACTGTTTTCACCGATGATTAATTAAGAAAAGGATAAACGAATTTAATGGATTTTTATTCGGACCAGCGTTGATCTCTTAGGAAAGAGCTTAGAGAGAAGTTTTTATGGACCAAATTTGATTGTCATGAGCTTTTCTTAAAGGACAAACGGGAGTATATGAAAAGTTTTTATTCAGAAACTGTCAAAACAACGGAAATTTTAAATCAAGGACTATTACGAGTTTTTATTAAGAGATTAAGGTTATTTTTAGTTTTTATTTGAAGACTTACGTGGGTATTGAAAAATTCTTGAATTAAGGACTGTCAAATTATTTAAAATTTTTATTCAGGGACTATCACGAATATTTTTAGGATTTTTTATTCAGGGACAAAAGTCAATATGTAACAAATTGAAAAGTATCAGTAGATTTTGCCGACTGATGAAAGGAGGAAATAAAAAAACTGGAACAAAGTCAAACGCGATATTTATAACATTTTTTTTTTAATTTTATTGAATGAAAGCAAAAAATGTCGGAAATAGCATCAAATTTTAGAATAAGTTTATATTTGTTCGAATTGGTCACCTTTGGCACGAATTATGGCCTTCAAACGACCAATGAAACCGTCACACGCTGTTCAAATGTTGCTCTGCAGTATTGTGGTCCATTCCCGGCGAAGCAGTTGCTTGAAGTGATCGATACTTTGGTAATTTTTAGTGCCAACCTTGCTTTCCAAAACAGTCCAGACACAATAGTCCAACGGATTGGTGTCCGAAGATTTAAGTGGCCATTAAGCACTGGAAATGAAGCGAGGAACCTCATGTTGTAACCATTCTAGGGTGGCGGGTGCTGAGTGCGTTGGTTCTGAGTCCTATTGAAATGTCCAAGGTCTGCGGCCCCCAGAATATTTTCGCGATAATATTCGCCATTTATTCTACCACAAGATCTGGTGTGACGATGGGATGTACCAGCCCCTCTTTCTGGGGTCGACATTTTGAATAACCAAAACGCTCATAAAATGGGAAATAAACATCCGATTATCTTCAAATTTCACACATTCCAATATTTCTACTAGCATAGGATAAGGTGTTAAGGTGGTAGATATCGGCCCAACCTTTCAAACTTAGTTCAGAAATGAAATGGGCAATATTGGACCACTCCTTCGGAACCCCCTAAAAAGATTTGACAATTTGAATAGTCATAACGCAAGTCAAAATATATTTATATAAGCGGACATTGACTGTGGGTATAAATCTGTCGACAAAACCGAATTTTTAATTTGCTTTTTTATTTGGTATGATTTTTTACTTGAGGATCGAGGTTGGTTTTATTGACGCACTAATGTGGGTTTTCAAGATTTAATTTTTAATTTTCAGTTTTTGCTCTTTAAGGACTAAAAGGAAGACGAGCTTTAATTTTATATTATTTTTCATTCAAGGACAAAAGGAGATTTTTAGCGAACTTTTATTCACGGATAAAAGTGTGTCTCTTATTCACGGACTTTTGGGATGACAAGAGTGGATCTTTAAAAATATTTAATCAAAGACGTGTAATTTTTTGCGGAATATGCATGCAAGGACAAATGGGGATTTTTTTTAAAAACTTGTTTTTTCAGATTTTACTCAAAGAGTAATCTCGATTCTTCCGTAGATTATTTTCAAAAAAATGTGCCCGTAACAATAGGGGTGTTGAGGAATTAAGACGAGAAAGTTCGGATGTTGTAAGGAACTTTATTCCGAAGTACCAGGACTATTTCAAATGATTTCAATTATGCAAGGTCAATATTCCCTCCTTAAATATTTTGAGATGTTTTTTTTCAAGAACTTTACATGGAATCAACAGGGCAAGGACTGTAGCTTCTATATTTTTATGGATTGATTTAAGATTTTTTAATCCTAGACTAAAAGGGTAGTAATTATAATTTTTAGGACATACGAGGACCTTCCTATCATATAAAAGGAGCATTTTCATTTTTTTTTTTTTTAGTTTAGTTGTATGACCTTTTTTGTACAGATTTTACAATTTTTTTTCTTTGCCATCAATATTTTTTAGATCAGTGTCACTGCATGGAAAATGAAAATAAATTATTTGCCACAACAAAATCATGTTTTGTTCGCATACAAACATTTTTTCTTTTTAATTTTTATACAAATTTTACACTTGTATACCTTGTACATACATTAATATAGAATTAATTTTTTGTAAATCTTACCAAAGACCCCCGCCCATTTTATGTCACTGCCCATGAAAACTGCATTTACCTTTGCCATACAATTTTTTATAGACAAATTTTGTTTCATCGATAAATTGTAAAAATTCATAAAATTGCTTAGATAATAACAGTAAACCCCTTGTAAAATTATTATTTTTTTGTTGTTATTCTTAAAACTAAAAAACATATTTTTTTATTTATTTTTTATTTCTTTTCATTACCATCAATTTGTTGTAATACATTTGTTGTGGAATGTTGCCAAAACGTATAAAATCCTTCCAACAACATATTTTCTTCCTCTAACGATTTTTGTATGAAATTTTGAAAACGAATTTCGAATTCGAACCAAACCAAACCAACAGCTGTTAAAAGGTCTCCCATCCACAAGGATCAACGTACCACCGAAGAAATGCGTAAATTAATTGAAAGGTAAAGTAAGACCCATCCCCTAAGCCCTATGCATCCCCCTACCCCCAGAAAATTAAACAGCAATGTTGAATACCCAAAGCCAACAACACAGATGCAACAAATTAATATAGCTTTAAAACAAACAGTTGTTAAAAGTTCAAAATAATACGTTTTTTTCAATATATAACTCTTTTTCCAAACACCCCTACCACCGAAAACTACAACAACAACATAATGTTAATCACCTGTTGATCCTTTACTAAAAAATATTGTATTTCTTTGTATTTTTTCCATTCTCTTTAATATTTTTTATTAAAACAAAAAATCCTTTTCCTTGTTTTTGTAATTGCCACAAAAATCCTGTAGTCGAAGACATTTGTAAGTTTGTATGTATGTTGGTAGTAAAATAAAAAAAAAGTATGAGCACGTAGTATATACTTGTGTAAGTAGTGGTAGTAGTACTAAATTGGTTTTTGTTTTATGCATGTCTGTGTGTGTCTCTTTTTTATTTAACTGCATGACTATTTTTATTTTTATTTAATATTTATTATTTCTTGAATTATAATTTGATTGAATTTTCTGTTAATGCAAATCACAGTTTTGAGAAAAAAAATATATATATCTTATAAAGAACTTAAAAATAATCAAATATTTTACCAATAAATTTAATATATATACAAAATATTTTTATTGTAATAATCGCAAAAAAATATCTGAAGCTTATCTGCAAACAAGGAAAAATATTTAAAGGTTAATTAAAAAAACTGAACAATATTGTTTGAGGTCAGGACTGCATATCTAAACGCTAGTTGCGTTTTTTAACACAAAAATTTAAAAAAACTCGAATAACTGCCTACAAAAATGAACTCACAGTTTTAGAACCTAAGTATCACGTCATTGCTTAGTTTAAAATTTTATCAAAATTCGAAATCTGAAAAAAATATTTTACTTTACTCATCGAATATTTGTAATATATATTTTCACTGGAAACGATTTTTAATGCATAAGGTCTTTAGAAGCTTTTATATGTATACAAAAGCTTTAAGACGTCCGCTAGAATGCATTTCACGCATAGAAGAGCTTTAATGGGTATTTTATAGATAGAAGAGATTTTTCCAGATCTTCTACAGATAGAAGACTTTTTACAGGGAATCCTAAGATTAAATTCCCTCCTCTGATCTTCTAGGAATAGAATATATTTTAAAAGTATATTAAAAGAAGACCCTTTAGAAGATTTATTCGTTTTGCTACTCTTTAGATTAGCTATTGTGATTGGAAATCGAAGTACAGATCCACTTGCCCGATATAGGTATCGTTGGGAAGCTTATAAAAATACATATCCATGGATACATATCCATGGATGGATTCGGAAATTATAGTGAAATAATTGATTTTTTGGACCCGGTTTTTATAAAACCTCCAAAAAGTCGAAAAAGGGACCAAATTATAGCTGACACTCTTACCTTTCCAAAATACTAAAATTTGTACCAATACCATTTTATACCCTCCACCATTCTATTTGTAAACCTCGAAATATTCATAATAGACCCTACAAAGTATATATATTCTGGATCAGCGAAAAAATTCTAAGACGATCTGTCTGTATGTTGTAATCATCGAACGAATTGAGATAGAAGGCTAAAATTTTGGCATAAATGCGTAGTTTATCAGTAGGCTAAGGTTGAGATCGTAAATCAGCCATGTCGGTCCACATTTTCGTATAGCCCCCATGTAACGGTACCTCCCGACATTCGGTATTTTAATAATTTTACCGACATTATTTACCGGAATTATTTTAAATTTTATATTTAAAGCTCGTAATGGGTACTACATCCTATGACAACAAATTTCGTAGGCAGGTCCACGTTTTCGTATAGTCCCCATATAACGGTTTTCATTTAAATGGTAGTTTTCGGGTTTTTTTTTAATATTGAAGTTGCTTCCAAATGATGGAGGATATAAAAGGTTCGGACTTGCCTAGGTTACTTGTTATTAAATTCGTTTGGTCAAAATTTTGTGTACAACAACTTTCAATATATAAGTTTTCCTAAATTTAACAGTTGTTGTAAGTATCCGGTCTTTGGCCGGGGTTTGAGATTTTCTCCTCTGGGTATGTCCCATACCGGCTAACGTTTCCTCTAAAATTGGACAAATATATTTTAATTTCGTTGTCGAAAAGTATTTATATCCTACACTACATTGTGATAAGGGTATTATGTCTTTCTTCATTTCTTTGTAACATGGAGAAGGAAGCGTGATAGACCCATACTTACTTTTGAGGATCTTCATAGAAATCCTTTCTGATTCGATTTATGTATGTCAACCCGACCGTCCGACCATGTATTATTGTGAACAAAATGCAGGTCGCATTTATTATCCGATTGAGATGAAATCTTGCAAACAATATTTGTTTAGCCCAAGGACCTATTAACCCTATTATAATTGGTCAGATTTAGATATAGCTCCCATATATATCTTTATCCGATATCAGGTTAATTGTGCACCAAATGGCTAATATAAGTCCAAACGACCGAATTCAGTCTAGAAGCAAGTAAATCAATTTTGTAGAAAATTGCTTTAGATATAGCTATAGCTCCCATATATATGTTTCATCCGATTTGGGGTTTAAAGTTCTTCACAAGCGTAATATGCATACCACAACAACAATCTTTGGTACCAGATATCAGATACAGCCCAGAAATACCTCTGCAAAATTTTATCAAGATCGGTTCAGATTAGGATATAGTTCCCATATATATCTTCAGCTGATTTCGGGTTAATTGTGCACCAAATGGCCAATATCAGTCCAAATTACCTGAATTTTTGTGCATCCGACCTAATTCAGTGTAGAAGCAAGTACATCGCATTCGGTCTAGAAGCAAGTTCGGAGAAAATCGATCAGGTATAGCTATAGCTGACATATATATGTTTCATCCGAATTAGTGTTTAAGTCCCTTAAATTCGTAATATGCATTCGACAACAATGATATTTGGTGTCACTTATCGTATAAAGCTCGGAAATACCTTTACCAAATTTTATCGAGAACGGCTTAGATTTGGATATAGCTCCCATATATATCCTTAATCCGATTTCAGGTTTATTGTGCAAATAATTGCTAATGTCAACCCAACTGGAGTGAATTTCGGGACGTACATTTACATTGTGCAACTCGGCTCCGATATATATTTTTAAATATAATCCTTCTCCAAGACATTCACTCTATAGCAAACCATAACTTTTCTAAAGTCAAAAATTGATATACTTGAAATAAATTCTTTTGTTACGGGAGCTCCACTAAATATGCATAGTGGTGTAGGGTATCATATAGTCGTCCCCGCCCGAATTTTCCTTATTGGTTTTACTTTTGAGCAGACACGTTTTTTTTTTTGTTTTGCTAGAATACCCGTAGAAAATATATTTCGTTAAATTATGCCCAAGGCCAATGTAATAGTCACAGGAGGCGAATTAAGATCTTCTTCTCCGGCTATCAAAAGTTTTTTTGGCATGAATCCAGTAAAAAGGGAGAAAATACCAAAAAAATATTTCACAAACTTTACATATCAATGTTTGCATATATCTTTCGATAAAAATGTTTTTAATATTTTAAATTAAAAAAATAGTTTTGACAGTAGAACACGACAACAGGTGGCCTTACAATGTTTCTATCTATACAAGACATATAAATGGTTGCCTCGCGAACCCCTATTAAAGATCTCTCTTACAGCACGTTTACATATAAATGGGTTATCCCACAGGATTTGGATTAAAATTACAATTACAAAAATGTACGATATAAATATGGCATTAGGCTACACAAAAGGTTCTCGTTTGTTTTGTTTTATTCTTTAAGAGAGAATAAATCTTAAGCAATCTTTGAGGTACTTACTAAATTAAAGTACGTTCACATACATACCTTTATCCAAGTTGGCAATTGATCATTCACAATAAGTTTGGCTGTGGAAAATATGCGTTAAATTTATTGTGATTGGCTAATTACTACGTTTAACTTGGATTTTGTTGGTAAACACGCTATTAGTCATTATTAATTAAATATTAGCATCAATATGACGTGATACTTAGGTTATGATGTGAGCCCATATAAATACAATAGATATTTTCAAAAATTAAAACCAATTCTATTTCACATAATACCTAACTACTATTTTATCGTGCGTTCCCTTAAGGCTATTGTAGGTTCGTTAACCAAGCACAATAAAGAAAACATATTTATGAGTACATTTCGTAGCAAACCTAAATTGTTAAACTAGCCTGTGCTTGTAAAGCTGTAATATTGGATATCAAAATAATTATGTCTATTTAATAGTTTTTTTACCAATTAACTAATAATAATTCATCATATTCTTATCCAAATTTCTTATTTCCAAAAAAAAATCTAGAAACGAAGCCGGCCCAAAACAACTCCAACAACAAAGTGGCGCAGGATTCACAGCCTACGATACTATGGCAGTGTAATTTGTAAATTAGCAAGGAAGGCTAAGTATGCAAACCGCAAATAAAACAAAACACACACCTCATAATCATGAAAATGGATTGAATGAAAGAGTTCAGCATTGAAATAAAAGGATAAAAACACATACACACAAATAAATATTTCAAAATATCATCACTCATGGCTAGAATTGCCAATACGAACATAAAACACGCAAACAAATTGACTAAAAAAAACCAAAATTTGAGTGATTTATACGAAAAACAAAACATAACTATATAAAAATTAAGGAAACCAAAAAACAACAACACACTCATACATACACACATTAACGATTTTCTTTCTTGGAATGAAATGAGATTTTGAAGAGGGGGTGAAAAAGTTAAAGGTTGTCTCAAGAATATTTCAACACTTGTTCTTTTGTAATCGAACCTTTAAGACTTTTTCCCCTTCTTGGAAAAAATTGTGCGAAAGTTTAACAGACACAGACACACAGAGATACATAGACACAAAAACCAAAATAACGAAAAAATCATATATAAAATGAAAGAAGAAGAAAAAACTTTGCATTTTTTAAAAACTACATATATATAAAAAGCAACATACATAATATATACATATAACTTATATTTAAAAAAAACAACAAAGAGAAAATTAAAACCAATCTTTTTTAATGTATAAGTGTATTTTGATGGAAAAGAAAGATATAATTAATATTGAAAAAAAAAAACAATTACAAACAAACAAAAAGAAAACGATAAAGTCATTGTAAGAATGAAGTGAGAAAAAATAATACAAAAAATAGAAAAAAAAATAAAACAAGAATTCATCCAAATATTAAGAAAAAAATCAGGAACATATGGAACACCACAGCAATACAGACTCATATGAAATAACAACAACAGCAAAAAAAAACATATTTTATTATAACAATATAAAAAATACATTGAAATCAATAAAATAAGGTTCAAGATTGGAGAGGAGAAAAAATTTGTGAGGAGATCGGATTTTTTCGAAAAAAAAATATATTTTTAAATATACATATTTTTTTCAATTTCTATATAAAATTATTAAAAATGTAACGTGTTTTTTCAAATCTTTACTGTTTAAAAATCTCGTTTTGAAACATTTTGGATTTTTCCAATGTGGTTTAAAGTACGTTTACATACAAGTTAGCACAGATAATTTATCAATCACAATAGCATTGAGTATGGAAACATACGTTAAATTTATTGTGATTGGCAAATTATCAGGGTTATCCCGGTGTAAAAATCTGAGGTAAACACATTGTTATTTAGCTAGAAATATTTTAATTTCTTTGTCCATACAAGTAATTTGTTTGCACTCTCAAATTGGTGGAGAATACACCAGTGCATACTCAGCAGGGTTGCCAGATCAATTTCTATTATAACAAAAAATTTTTGGGCATTTGTCCAAGAAAAATGATATTTTAAATTCCCATTTTTTAAATATTGAATTACTCAAATTAGAATAGAGAGTACAACAGTGCATACCCAGCAGAGTTGCCAGATCAAATTCTATTTTCTCAAATATTCCCGGGCATTGGTACTAGAAAAAATATTTTTTCTTAAACTCATGTTTTAAATATTAAGTTTAACAAAATAGGGGATACTACAAAAAGCATACTCAGCAGATTTGCCAGATCAATTTCTATTATCTCAAATATTCCATCTATTGGAAGATTTTTTTAAATTCCAATTAAATATTTTATGCACATTTGGGCTAGTGAGGAAAGAGGCCGTGATGAAAAATAAAAATTTTTGGCGTTGCCATACTTACTTCAACTAGCTCAATTTTTTTTTTTTTTTTTTTTTTTTTTTTTTGAAGAGCTCCGAGTGCTTCTTCAAGTTCCAAGTTTTGTCTTGAATATATAATATGAACGATAGTCTGTCATTTTTAAGAAGGATGAAATAGATCAAAGCTTAAATCGTGACTTCGGCGTGAAAACACAACTCTGTTGCCATGTTTGTCTGAAGGAAGCGAGAAAATACAACGCTATTGCCAGCCACAAGTGGCAAAAGGGCTGTATTTTCACGCCGAAGTCACGATTTAATTATCATTTTTAAATGATAATATTATTAAAAAATTGGAATAGCGTTGTATTTTCTTTCCGAAGACATGATTTAAGCTTTGATCTGGTTTAGTCTTTAGGGCTAGAACAGACCGTGATGAAAAATAAAAAATTATGGTGTTACCATATTTACTTCATCTAGCTAAAAATAAATATTTTTTCCGGAAAAAATGTTAAGGTTCTTCAAATTCCAAGTTCTTTTCTTGGTTTTTCTATATCAACTAAAGTCTGTCATTCCTTGCAATACTCTCTGAGATATGAAATTTCAACAATTTCAGGTGTTGCCATATTATCGCAAATAGGCCAAATATAATTTTTAATTTAATGCTACTACTTAAAGTTTCAGGTGAGAGAGTGCGTTTTAAAAAATCAGAACTAGAAATGTTGCCATATCAACTAAATTTGGCCAAAATTATCTGGGGGAAAAATATCTTCTTACTACATTTTATACAAAGAGATTCCAACTGCTAAAGAACCTTTATATACAATAAATTTGACTGTAGAGAACATGCATTAAATTTATTGTAATTGGTCAATTATCAGATTAAAATCGGGTAGTGACTTTGTATGTAAATGTACTTTAGCAGTTGGAATCTCTTTATAAAATTTGAAATGTAACATGAAGATATTTTCCCCTAGAAAATGTTGCCCAGATTTAATTAATATGGCAACTCTTCTTATTCTGATTTTTATGACTCACTCTCTCACCTGAAACTTAATAAAAAAAGTAGCATGCCTTTGAAAATGGCTGTTGAGCCGAAATTCCAACGGTTTTCGCAATTAAAAATTATATTTGGCCCATCTGCGATAATATGGCACACCTTAAATTTTGTATAAAATATAACATAAATATACTTTTTCCCTGGAAAATGTTGCCAATATTTAATTGAAATGGCAACGCTTCTAGTTTCGATTTTTTAGGACAGCTCTCACCTAAAAAAAAAGTTTGTATGTAAACGTGCTTTTAGTGAATATCAATTTATTTACCGATCAATTTCGACCTTATATTCCTGAAATTTAACAATTTCTGATTCTGTCTATTTGAAATTTGTATTTTATTTTAATTTGGTTTTTAATTTTAGAAAATTATATAATTTAAATCCATTTCTCTTCCCCATAATTTCCACTTTTCGAATCTTTAACCATGTGACAAACCAAATAACCACACAACAAGCACAACAATTCAATTTTTAATTATATTTATTTATTTGTAATTAAAAATAAGATTATTTGATTTTTGTATTATTTTTTTCACATCAATTATGTTATAAACAAGAAAAGGAAGAAGAATCTCATCCCTATATGTATATGTATGTACGTATGTAGTAAAGTGGAAGTGACAACGTAACGTTAAAAAACACTCACACACACACATTTATACGAGAGAGAAAAAAGTCATTATATTTTATTATATATTTGCCATTTATTTTTTCTGCAAAGAGTTTTCTTAAGAAAACCTAACTCCCCTAGTTTTTACGAAAAAACATGTTTTAATTTAAGAAAAAATATAATTTTTATTTTTTTTAATTTTTAATCTATTTCATTATGGATCCTATTAATATTATTTCGAAAAAAGAAGAATTTCAATAATTATAATTTTTTTGTAATATTTAAGATTGTGATGTTTATAATTTAGTCATTATAATTATGTTTGTACCACTATTAATTTTGTATGTAACTCTAAGTGACACAAACACAAACAAACAGACAGACATAGGAGCAGGTTCTACAAAGAAAAACATAAAGAGAAGGTAAAAGTATGTTTAAATAGAATAATCTCCACCCGGATTAACCCTGATAATTGACCAATTACAATAAATTTAATTTCTATTAGATTTATTGTGATTGGTCAATTATGGAGATTTTGTATGTAAACGTACTTTAATATCCTTTCACTTATTTTTAAAAACTGGTCAATTGTGTAATATTTAAATATTTTTCAAAACAGTGCTTCCCCCCAACACAGAGACACCCTGCTGCACACATAGTTTACTCCGGAACAACATCACTTTCATTTGTATTATACATTGGTATTACCCTTTATTTCTTTTTACTATAATTGCTATATATTTTTACTTTTTAGTTTTTCTAAAAGAAAAAGCTTTAATAATTTTCGCCCCTTTGATTTGTAATATATTTAGATATCATATTCTATAATTTTCTTTTTGAAAAATTGTAATTTATTTTGTTTAATTTCATTTAAAGTGAAATTTTTCTTCACTTTCTTGTAACGAAAAGACCCCCCTCCCTCAACACACACTATATTCAAATTTATTTATAATTTTATCAAGTTTTTTATTTAAAATTATTTTAAGTTTTTCGATTTAATTTTTTTAAATATAAACAAAAAATTTAAAAATGTTTAAAATTTGTTTTGTTTTATTTAATATTTTTTATGTTTTTTATGGTTTGTATATATACATTTTATTAAAGCGGTGTACTTCTTCTTTATTTTAACCAATATCAGTGGATGTTGACCAGTCCGGCTAAAATCTGTTTCCGTAAAAATCTTTATCCGCGTTAACCCTAATAATTGACCATTCACAAAAAATTTGAAGGAGAAAAAATATTCGTGGAAACTATTGTGATTGGTTAATTTTGTTGTGTTAACCGGGCAAACATTTTGTATGTTAAAGCGCTATAAAAGTAGGTTCACATCCAAATCGCTACCCGGGTCAACCCTGATAATTGTTCAATCACAATAAATCTGCCTATGGAAAACCTACCTTAAATTTATTGTGATTGGGCATTGTGATGAAGATTGTTCCGGCTAGAGATTTTGTTTACAAACGTACGTAGAGATGGGAACTGTTTTTTATGCATTGAAATTTGACAATGTAAATTACAGAAAATGCAGAACTGGGAATGCTAATTTGAAATGAGGTTACTTTTATTTCATTGTACCATGGAGAGACTATTTGACGATTCATTTCAATGAATATCCAATTCAATTCAAATTTATTGAGGCTTTTTTTAACACGAAAATGTCACTTCAAAATTGTACGTTTCCGTGTTAAAAAAAACAAAGGCTCAATCATGATCCAAGTATAAGGTCCCCCTTCCAGCTCAGCTGATTACCAGACGATCTGTCAATTAAATTTGAATTCGCTGCAACAAAAACAAACTTCAAAACGATGGTAGAAGAATACAGGTAGTCGCATTGCATAGCTGCTGGGGCAATGAACTGTCAAACCAATTTTTAAGTTAAAAAGTTAAAATGAAAAATTATTGCAATGCTTGGGAACATTAATATGTCAAAATTGTTAAAATGTTTTGTCAAAAATAAGTAGATTTTTATACGTTTTCTAATACGAGGTTGTTATGATATGCAATTTTTACATATATCAACAATTTTTCGTTTAACATTTTTAATTTCAAATTCGGTTTGACTGTTCATTGTCCCAGCAGTTGCGTCGATGCCTCTACCTGTATTTTTGTACCATGTGTTATACATACAAAAAATGACAACAAACATATTCGCCACAAAATTCTTCTGTCAAGGCGAAAATATTTATTTTGACATTTCATCTGGTAAAATAACAGCTGTTTTTAGATTAATTCGCTCGAAGGAAGACCTTATAATTGGGCCATGGGCTCAATAAATTTGAATTGAATCGAATATTCATTGAAATGAATCGTCAGAACTAGATGCATTGTCTAATCTCTTTAAAGTACATTTATCTACAAATATTTAGCCGGGTTACCCGTGATAACTGAAAAAGCACCATACATCGCTAATTAATGGGTTTTTAATTTTTTCAAAAGAATTGTATGTAGGCGTGTTATTGGTCCATCGAGTTTCTTTAGTATGTTAAGTTTTGTCCTAGCGCGTTCCGTTGTTTCTACTTATGGCACAATAAATATGTATTATCCTAGAAAAATGTGTTCATAAAACTAGTTATCCGAATTCGTATATTCTCTGGAAAAAACACGGTCTATCCGGGTAAAGATTTTTGATTATTTAGCGTGAAAGACATGTTTGATATTCATAAAAGGTAATTCTCTCATTTAAGGTGGGAATACAACAGTACATACTCAGCTGGGTTGCCAGAAAAATTTCTTTTTTCTCAAATATTTCCAGCCATTGGTCCTAGAAAAAGTATGTTTGTTAAACTCTATGTTTTAAATATTGAATTTCTCAAATTAGATTGGAAAATTAGATTAAAATTGGCCAAACTTTGACATTTAGTCCGATTTTAAACCACTCGTCGCTTACGAAATTTTGACATTTGACGCCAGCGCTTTGATTTTCATAATATGTGAGAATGCTATAGATCAACGGAACGACTTTTGATAATTTCTCCGAATAATGATCAATAAGAATTCCTAGGCTTAAGGTATTCAGAGGACTTGAAAACGGCCAATCTGCCGACAGAGTCCATTATTCGGTCTCCCAATAATGGACTCTGTCGAACGAAGAGAAATAATAACAAATGACGTTATTTATTAGACAAGTTGAAATAGTTGATTATTGTGTCGACACACTGTCTCTCTCTTCTCCGTGTATTGTCTGTCTATATTTGTGTTATTTTTCTACTAGAATTGTAAATGATTTGTAAATATACTTTTATTTATTTTTATGAACCTTTTTTATTTACCACGTTAATTTTTTTGGAAAGGTCTCAATATTTATCACAAAATTTAGTGTGCCATTGAGAAACGACAAAAAAAACAATAAAAGACTGATAAAACCATTTTTGTGTCATTGTAAAACAAATATTGCTCAAAAACAACAAAATTTTTGATGGAGAAACCAATTAAAAGCGCAGATCATCATCGCCATGAGCCTAAGTAGGTGATAAATATTGAGACCATGGCAATATCTAAATCTTACAAATATTTTCAAAGACTCGGGCAGAAAAGTGAATGGTTATTCTTTTTTTATAGAAATAAGTTTAATAATTTAAAGTATAATTACATTAGGCATCATTTGGATTTAAATATATTATTTCAATATTTTTTTTTAATATTGACAGCTCTGTAATTCATATTCTAATAAAACTTATTGAAACTTATTTTATTTTTAGTTAAATATTAAAACTTGCTATTCATTTCAAGTTTTCAAAATGTCATCAATTCTATTTTAAACCCTCTGTTTTTGTTAACTCCTCAAAGTATGCTTTGAAAATTAGTCGTTTGAGAGTCTTCTTATTTCACAGCAAATGAGAATTCTGTTATAATGGATATTAAATTTTAAAATTTCGAATTAAAAACAGAATAAAGTATATGCATCCTAAAAGTATGCTCTGTTAATTTTGACAGTTATACATGGGAGAGTAAAAATGACAACGTTTACATTGAAGCCTTTTAATGTGCTAGTTGCTCAGCACTATCAGATATCTCAATTTAAATGTAAAGAAGATACAGAGGCTTTTTTTCAATAAAATTTATTTTTTTTAAATTTTATAGAGGGAATTTTATAAAATAATTTAATTAATGTTTTAACGCATTAACGTTTATTAATTTTATAAAATTAATAATTAATTAACTAATTTATAAAATTGCCTCTATAAAATTTATAAAAATAAATTTTATTGAAAAAAGTCTCTGTATCTTTTTCATATTTAAATTGAGATATCTCATAGTGCTGAGCAACTAACTAGAGCAACTAATTAATTAATTTTATAAAATTAATTAACGTTAATGCGTTAAGACATGTCTTGGAAGCTTTTAAACTTTAGATTTTTTAATGTTTTAATAAAAAATTATATTTTCTAAGCCTCACTAATTTACGGAGCGTTTTAGATTAGGGATATTTTGCAAATTCGAGGTACTTTTAACTGATAACATTTTAATGGCAAATCGTTTAGGGTGATTCGTCATGAGATTCATACAAAAGTTGATTAAAAAACTGTTTTAGAATGCCGATTTGTTGCATTTAATTTCATATCGACACAGAAATTGACCCTTTATCTGAATGAAAATGTTAATACTTACAATTATTTAAACTATTATTTTTTATTATCTGATAATTATAATTTATTTTTAAATATTTTAATACAAAAAATTTTTTTTTGAGTTTTTTAACGAATCTCCGTGCATAAATAATAAACGAAACATATGGTAAACAAATAGCATTTACTTTTTACAGTAAACGAAAAGAACAGAATAACAGCCATAGAAATTAATTACAAAATAACGAAATAGAAAAAAATAACAAGTTTGAGAAACCACCTCTAAAAATGAAAATAAAAATTAATATTTATTATGACTTAAGAATCTTTAAAGTTAAAAACATGCATAATTTATAAAATATCAAACTACAATTTTTTATCTACACCAGAAGAAACAAAAAAACCAAAAATAAAACTAGTAATATTTGTTATGTGTTTTAGTTGCTTACAAAGAAAAAAGAGGCTTTTTACAGTTATTCTTTTTTTAGAATTAAAATAAATTAAATTAATTAGCCAAGAAGAAACTTAATTTTAATGCGAAAACTAATTTTGTGTTATTTTTTGATATGGGTTTTATAAATTAAATATATTTCATAAATTTCTAAAACAAACACAAAAAAATTATAATCTAATAAAAATAATATATGAATGTAGTGTTGTGAACTATTATATAGATGTATGGCTTATTAAACAAACAAAAAAAAAAAACTCAAAACATTTAAAAATATACATATATAATTACAACAACAATTTATTAAAAAAAAACTCATATTACATACAAAAAAAATTATATTACATACAAGTAGACTGTTAAGATTCATTGCAAAGATATTTGAAAATAAACAAAAATTGAAATCCAAAAAATATATATATGAAAAAATAATTACAAATGCATATTTCCATAAATTACACAAATAAAAAAATAAATTTATATTCAAACCAAAATTTATGCGCATTACAAAATTTTTTCAAAATTATATAAACACAAAAACAAAATTGAAATGATTACAACGTTCTGGAACAAAGAAGAAAATTATATATCGTAAGCATAGAAATTGCATATAAAATTAATAGTTAAATCAATCAAAATCAAAACGAAAAAAGGAGATATTTAAAAAATTTATAGTCGTCTCTAGAAGACAATTGGTTAAAATAATAATATTTGGCTTAAAACAAACAACTTTTTCGGCAAATAGAGCGTGTTAAATAAAAATAAATACATACATATTTCTTATAACATTATTTTACATACACAATCGTCATATACATTAAACTAAACAGATTTGCAAGATATTTAATGAGGAAGTGGGTAGGAGAAGTAACATATTTG